TGGTGTTTGGATGTGCTAATATTCCTTATTCTGGATGGGCTTCCTCTTACTGCTACACATGAGCACAGATCTGATCATGTGCCATCTATTTAGATGATTCAGAGCTTTTTCCTTGGGCCAGTATTGGAGCATGTATTTTAATCAATTTTTTAAAATATTTTAATCTTTAGTTGGTTGTGTCCTTGTTATATAGAATTTGTGGACTAAGAATACTTCTATTTTTTGAGGTGTTATTTAAATTCTAGTGAGTGTTTATTGTATTTTCTAAATTTATCAGATTTAGGTTGTGTCACAAGAGCATATCTCATATGGCACTCACAACACTTAGTTGTTGTTAAGTGCATGTCTGATAACTCTCCTGAAAGGATCTACAGATGGTTTAAGCTCAGACTCCAGAATTTTTGCATGAACTCTGCTGTGACATTATCTTCAGGAATTGAAAGTTAGAGGTAAAAGGGCTATGTAGTCTTTTTTTTACCACTGTAGTCATGGTCATAAAATAAAATCAGTCTGTTAAAGGATTGGCTTTATTAGCAGTAAGAAAAGAAGTGAAATTACAAGCCTGTGAAAACAATAGCAGTGGTATTGTGGATAATACTGGTAATTCTAGCTAGCAGTTCAAAGCCCAGTTTACTAGTCCTAATGCAGCTTTTCCATAGCCCTTGGAACATACTACATACAGAAAAAGGTCTGCAGATAACACACTGCTTGTTCTGCACAGAGGAGTTTGTGCCACCCAGCTCTGCAAGGACCACTTCTTTCCACGAAACAGGTTTCAGATCTCCTACTGAAAATTCAGAAATCTGAAGAGTAAATTACAAAACTTCTATGTATAGATAAACTCAGAATTTTCTCTTCCTTTTCTCGGCTTTTTCATTACTACTGAGAAATACGTACTAGGTAAGACTCTCCCGCTTCTAATTCCTTTAGGGTTTGAAGTCCAGTTTCCTTTCAGCACATTATTTAATAGTTGTTCCTGTAAGAGGATCTCAAAAAGAAATGCAAGTATTTTATGTTACAGCAGAGTTAATTTAATCTTGAATTTAGAAGTGAAGGTAATGGAAATTCCAATAAATTCAATTACTAGAAGCAAAGTGAGTGTTTAATGTTCATTAAGTATCTAAAATATTGATTTACTTTTTTCCAGGAACATGATTATGCTATTATTTTTATAGCCTAATAATGGCTAAGTATTTTTTGCACTGCTTGCCTAGAAGGTATCTATCCTTTTTTCCCCCTCTGACAAGCATATTTCCTATTCTAATTTGCAGCCAATTCCTGAAGAGAAAAATGAGTCTCCCTTGGTGCTGCAGAATCCATGTCTTTCTTTTTTTAAGCTTTTCTCTTCCAGATTTTGTCTGTGGAATACAGTCCATTCAGTGTTCTTTCCTGTGTGTGGATATGTTTCTGTGCATAGGCATATGTTGTGAGGTACATTACTAAGAGCTTTCTTACACTGCCGTACTGCCCACAATAGTTCTGACTTGCAGACTGTATCAGTACAGGAAATTATTCTGGAATCCTGGTGCTTTAAATTCATACCCAAACTTGTTTGTCATTCACTTCCTTTCTAGGTCAGTGTTGATTTAGCACTACTACATTGTTAAGGGTAATGTTACCTTCTGTTTGTTTCCTTGTGTTCTATATTTAGTTTCACTATAATGGAAGCCAGTAGCAACCACTTTAAGTTGACTTAACATGCTAATTTTTTTCTTTCTCTTTTTTTTTTATGGGACTTTTTGTGACAGAGGTACTTTATGGTGTGAAGAAGGCCTTGAGAGAGCTGTGTGGCTAGAAAATTATGTCTTGGGACTTCTATTTAGACATTGCTGCAGTGTAACTCTAGAGAAGAGGGAGCTTTCCAAACTTAACAGTAACAGATATAAAATATAGGCAGTTAGGGTATAGTTATAACTGGAAGGAAGATCCCACCATTGCAGCAGCCAGATGACTGATAAGTGTCTCTGTACTGGTGTGGAAGTTGTCAGGGAACGGAAGAAAGGAAAGGAGGGACCAAGTATTTCAGCACCCTGTTTGTCATCTTGTTTCATTTGAATTCATCACATGGGACCTCTTACCTACCCACTGGGAAAACGTATTTACCTTTGTTTAGAGATGGACCTTAAGACAAAGTCAGTACCAGAGGGACTGACTGGCTTCTCTTCCAGCCTGCTGTAAGATGATACTGATCATCCGATGTAATTAGTGCAGTCGGCTGAGAAATACAGATCTCTTCTTACAGTGTGTAGGGTTTGTGTTTTAGTTCAGGTAGATAATGGGTTCAGTGAGGGTTGATTACTTCTGCATGTAATTTGTGTTTCTATAAAAGAGTTAGCTTTTGTATTTTTAACTGCATTTGCAAAACACTGTTTAGGTTAAAATAACAAACATTCTGCAGTTATGTCAGAAAAGGAAACTACAAATTTGTGGGCAACTATTGATCATAAATCTTGCTCTGAAATGTGTTATGGGCAAGCTACTAAAAAAGGCTATTGAGTTCCTTTTCATTTAAAACAGAGTTGTATTAGGTCTGCCTTTTATGGGCTGAACAGTATCTAAACCCTCAGAAACTGCGAAGTCTGGGAATATTCTCTTAGTATCAGGAATGTGAAGTAGTGGTTTAGGGTTTCATTTTTTAGAGGGTGCCCAAAATAACCACAGGAAAGTTGGTTGCATAATAATTGCATTGCCTTCAAAACTAATTTTTGTTTGTATATAGAGAGCATATCATGTTGAGTACAGAATCATAGAATGGTTTGGGTTGGAAGGGACCTAAAGATCATCGAGTTCCAACTTTGCTGCCATAGGCAGGGACACCTTCCAGTAGAGCAGGTTGCTCAAGGCCTTATCCAACCTGGCCTTGAACACTGCCAGGGTTGGGGCATTCACAACTTCTCTGGGCAACCCATTCCATTCCAGTATCACCCTCACAGTAAAGAATTTCTGCTGTATATCCAACCTGAATTTCCCCCTCTTCTATTTGAACACATTACTCCATGTTCTCTCACTACAGCTCCTGATGCAGAGTCCCTCTCTGGCTTCCTTGTAGGCCCTTCAGATACTGAAAGGCTGCAGTGAGGTTCCACACAACCTTCTCTTCTCCAAGCTGAACAGCCCCAATGTTCTCAGTCTGTCTTATAGGAAGGTTGTATATCCAACCTGAATTTCCCCCTCTTCTATTTGAACACATTACTCCATGTTCTCTCACTACAGCTCCTGATGCAGAGTCCCTCTCTGGCTTCCTTGTAGGCCCTTCAGATACTGAAAGGCTGCAGTGAGGTTCCACACAACCTTCTCTTCTCCAAGCTGAACAGCCCCAATGTTCTCAGTCTGTCTTATAGGAAGGTGCTCCAATCCTTTTAGCAACTTTGTGGCCTCCTCTGGACTTGCTCCATGCCCTTCCTATGTCCACCTGATGTCTTTGTGTCCCTGAATCTGAGTGGATAATAGGAAGATCTGAGGAAGTTCTGTTTCACACTTCTTTTTTACTTTCCCAAGATTGTCAAGGAGCAAATAGATAAAACAGTTAAGCAGAAATGGATCAAAGTATCCAAAGTAATGTGTACTTGGCAGTCTGTTTTGCTGTGCTATTCTGTTCCTCCCTTGGGAGTCTCTAAGATTGCAGTGGGTGGTTTAAGTAATATGTAATCCAACTGAACATATACTGATTTAAAAGATAAAAACGCAAATGTCCACCAGCAAATTATTCCTTCAGTAGGTAAAAATATTGAAAAGTTTTGAAGAATAAATGTATTCAGACTCTGTAATGATTCACCCTTGAGTCAGTGATGGCAGCATTCTCTTCTGAAAGGCAAAAGGAGTTTGGGTTTATTAGATGTAGTACTCTGTATATGTACGCACACATGCAAAATTTTGGCTGTCTTACAATGGAAACTGACACCTATTGGTCAGCTTGGATTTGTCTCGGGTGTTCTAAAACTAAGGACATAGACAACCACGTCTAGGTGGCCCTGCTTGAGCAGGGGAATTAGATGAGATGACCTCCAGAGGTCCCTTTCAATGTCAACCCCATAAAAGAAATACAGAATTCACAAGAAGTTGAAATTGTAGTTAGCATACTGTGTTCTGTACATTAACTTTCAGTTGTGTTGTGTGTTAACTTAGAGTAGATTGGATCCCATGTAATGCCAAGATAGATCTACAGATGACATTGGCAAGAGTGCAATCTTCTACTTACTCTTGAACACTTGCTGATAAAGTTCTGAAATTCTTTCCTTGTGTGGCAAGGGAGTGTCTCATAATAGGAGATTTTTCAACTTCAGTGCAGGAAACACTGAAGAGCACAGAAAGACTACAAGATGCACTGCCCTTTAGAGCTTTCTGGTAACCAGTTTCTCACGGAGGGAGAAGTGCTGAAGGCTGGGCAGCTTTTATTTTTCCTCAACAGAATTTTCTCAGTGGCAGGTGGAGAATTTATTGCTGCTGAAGTGGGGGAGGATGGTGTGCTGCTTTGCATGGAAATGTCTTGAGTCTTGCAGTGTCTTCTAAATGTGAGCATTAGCATTGCTGCAGCATATTGGTCCTCATTCGAGTGTTAAAAAGGAGGGTTCTCCAAAAAGATCTGGCCCATTTCATGCACTCTAGGTGTGCTTTAAGAGGACTACATGCTTAAGAAGATTGATTTCCATTAGTGGCTTATGAATCTGGAACAGAGATTATGAACTGAGTAATATGGACTTTAGCAAAAAACCATGGGAATTGCTGGCTTGTTTTGTCAACTCTCTTGTCTGGAGTCTGATACATCACTAAAAGTTTAAGGCACGTTGTTACTGAACTAATGCTGCCTTCTGTAACAGATAAAGTTTATTTTTTTGTGTGTCTTGATTATGCAAATAGCATTGCTCAGTGTTTTTTGCCTGCATTTGGGAATGTCTGGTTCATTAGGTTTGGTGACACTGACATTTTTCAGCATATTGTGAATTTATAAACATAAGAAGATGCACCACTAATGTGAATTTGTTCCTCTTTTCCTCTGTCAGGAAGAAGGAAGTATCAAAGAAATTGCAATAACTCACCATGTGAAGGAAGGACATGAGAAAGCAGACCCTTCACAGTTTGAACTTCTGAAAGTACTAGGACAAGGATCCTTTGGAAAGGTTGGTAACTGAACTCTTGTGGAGCCAATTATTCAGGAATATAGCATTGAGTAATATTGTGAGTGAAATATGTAGAACAACCATAATCTTGCACTAAGGCAATGTTGCAAGTGAAAACTGCTTTTTAAATTAGTGCAAATAGGCACTGTGATTGTGGCAGATCTTTGTAAAGCAGTGATTTCATTTCTGGTTTGCTTGATATGTATATCTGAAAGTTCAATAGAAAAATTGGCTTGATTTGAAATAATTGGGTATTCACTGTTAAAATGGAATGTCATTTTTCTGTAACTACTTTTCTGTGTTTGAGGGGGTGAGAGTTGAAAGGTTTTTAGGTAAGTATTCCTAGTTGCTAACTTGCTAATGGCAGGTCAGCACCAGGGCAGAAGCTGTAGGCAGAGTTTATTTTTGTAGCAGATTGTAACTGTAATGAACAGATTTTAGGCAATAATGGCTACTGAAGTAAATGCAGTACAGCCTAGTCATGTTCGTGCTTGGCATTATATGTCATAATTTGGTTAAGGCACAATGTACCTGGATATTTATGTGAACATCTGTTAGGGCCTCGATGTTTCTAGCATTTGGTAAGTACTGTCCACCTGAGATCTCATGACATGTATGTGATTTATACTTCATACAGTTTTCTGGATCAACTTTTGTTCATATGTTTATCATTGTATCTGACAATTATTTTATTAGCACATTTGCTATGCCAACTTAGGGAGTTCAGTTAGGTAAAACTATTTAGAGATTTATTTTAAAAAGCTGAATTTTGTGTTTCAAGTTTGTATCAGCTTCTGAGAGAATCCAAATTCATTGGGGTTTTTTTGCTCACTGAAATCAATTAAGCTAAACCAAAATTAATTTGGCAGACTGTCTTGAATGAACCTTATAGATTATGAAATGAAGGAGTAGTAAGGAGAAAAATGAATGTTTTGTTTGGCTTTGCAGAATCTAAAACTGTCATATTGAGTTTCATTGAAATCATGCTGACTACTTGAATTTACTAGCGAAATACATTAATCTGACTTGGCTTTATTTTAATAATTCTTTCTGATTTTTCAATGCAGGTGTTTCTTGTCAAAAAAATCTCAGGATCAGATGCTAGACAGCTTTATGCAATGAAGGTATTGAAAAAGGCCACCTTGAAAGGTAAGCTTTGGTTAGAGAGGGAAGAAAAATAAAAATAGAGAAAGTGGAGGTATTATACCAAAACCTAATCTTTCACAGATGCTGTTCTACAGATTGTGTCTTACAGCTTTCTTCTATCAAACAGCAGAATACACTGCTTTGTGTTGTAAGCCTGGAAGGATTAAATTTAATAGTACCCTATTAGTGGTTATAGGGGAAAGTGTGTTCCTTTCCATGCTACATTCATTAGGTGATGGTGGTTTAATAGAGCAGTTTTATTACATCTGCCACCTGACTTGCTCCTGAGCTGTTATGTGAAACTTAATATCCTTCCGTTTTTCATTTGCTGCGTATCACCAAGGATACACTTAGTGCCTTTTGCTGGGTTTATAATTAGGTCATGATATTTAAAAGTACATTATAGCAACTTTTTTATTCTAAAAGGCTGAGCACAGGCGTTTAAATTCACTCTGGATTAAAATGGAAGTTATCTTTCACACAAAGACCTTGACCGGGATGTGTGCTTGTTGCTTTATGCCGTTGTTTAATACTTCTGCTATTTGAAGTTCTTTCTCTGAAATTGCAGTGATAATTTTGGGATGGTTCCAACAATTTGTATTGCTTTACCTATGTTATTGATCATTGTATTGAATTGCAGTTTTAAAATACAGTTTCATCTGAAAATATTTGTAAGAACTCACATTGAATTGTGAACTTCTGCTAAAATGTTGAACCTGAAATTTTTTTGTTTCAGGTCTAGTGCTGAATATCTGTTTCACAGATCCCATTATATATCAGTAACACTTTATTACAGAGCGTGTGTTTGAACAGTTTCCTATATTCTGATTCCTTTGTGTTTTGTGGCACGTGTCATTCTCATTATTTGCTTCCTATTTTTCTGAAATTGATTTCCACTCATTTAAGGTGCATTATTATCCTCAATAGACTTTCATTCTCCAGCCTGTTAATAGCCTGGGACTGGGCAAAGGTCACTCAGCAGTTGCTTTTTTAAGTTGTTCAAGGGCTTCTCTTCATCACCTTTTGATTGCAGTTTAACCTTACATGTAAAAATGACAGTCCAACCTGTGGATCTAGTGCCTACCGATGGCAGAGGCTGATAAATACCGAAATTGGAAGCATGACTTTTGGTGGGGAAAGGACATTCCTTGAGGCACAAAGACTTGAAGGATGCAAAAGGCTTGAGCAGAAAGGTGACACTATCAGGAGGATGCCACAGTTCTCAATAGAACTTTCAGATACTTTTATGTACCATTTGGTTGTGATTCTTCTTTTAGAAAGAGCAGAGTTGCAAACAAATTAAGGTTACTGATGAAACTAGTATGAAGTTAACCGGAATGAATTCTTTTTTTCCATTACTGAAACATTTTTTAATATCTAATACTGTCTTTTTAAATAGTGTATTACTTGATTTGTCTGTCGTACTTTAGCTCTTTGAAATCTATTTCATGAAGTTATTTTTGTGTTCTAAAACTATCGGTAAAAATGCCCTTTAAGACCACACTTGAAAGTGATAGGAATTCACAAATCAAATTTAGAGAGAATATTTTCATAGGAATGCAACTGTATTAGCCAGAACACACTGATGAAACCACACAGTCCAACTTGTTGATGTTTGGAGCAAATTCAAGAATATACACATACAACTTTATTTACTGCAGAGACGGGTATAGTAATGCTCTCTGATAGAATGTATCATCTTTCAGTGCCCCTTTATGATGGGGAGGGGCAGAGAGAGAGAAACAGGACCAAATCTTTGCAAGAGTGTGTGGCATCAAATGCATGAAGAAAAATCTGTGCATCCAGTAGTGTATATATATGGAAACTAGTCAAACAAAGGTCAGATGTTAATGATAAAATATCAATATAACTAAATTTAAAATATAAATATTGGCTGATACTAATGTCTGAAATGAGCTTGGGTCTTTATACCTTTTTGCTTGAAATTTTGTAAGTCCATACTTGCTCTAGCTTTCCAGAAATAAGGCTTGTTATCCATGTCATTGTTGCATAGCTGTAGACACTTGAAAGTCTTTCAGGGTTTTTTCTTAACTGAACCTGCCTAAAAAACTATTCTGAATTTCAGTTTTGTAATTCAGATAAACTGCTGAAACAGTGAAACCACACAACTATCTTGTGACAATTTCATGACTTTAGATGCAAAGGTCAAAATTCAAATGTGATGTTTGCTCTGTGTTTGCTGAGCACTTACTTCATGTGCTTCCGTTTTTCTGTTCTGCAGGGAGATGGAAACTTGATAGTTTTATTCATTCATGAAAATATATCTGTGTAACTTTTACACAAGTACCTGTATTACTGCAAGCGCCTATTTCTGCGAAAGGATAGATAAACTTCTAAAAGACCCTTTTGTTTCTTGGGAGGTTTTTTTGCCTTATGTTTTAATGTCTGAGAACTCAGGTTAACTATACAAGAAATGCTGGCAACTTGAACTTCAGACTGGACTGCATTGCTCTGGGGGGCTTCCTTCAGGAAGATGTAATGCTTGTGAAAGGAGCTGTGACAAAATGTAGGATAAGGAAAAGAGAAATGCAACATCCCAAACCACTGAAAGCAAAGTTTGATAGCTCTCATCTGTTAGAGTTCCAAATTTTGCTTGTGTCCTGGCTGATTGGAGCTTCAGATGAGAACCAGGCACTGGCTGGAGCCACAAGGGAGTTGTGGAGGACGACTGAAGCTGGTGCCATGCTCAGCTGACCATCCTGCCTGTATTTGTGCATTGCCAGCACCATTATGTGGTGCATCTGCATGTGATGCTCAGTGGAGTTTAATCTGTCATGGCATAGGAGCAGTTACGTGTCCCATTGTGAGCCACCACGGTGGGACAGCACAGGCAGCTTGAGCAGCAACTGCTTCTAATGTCTGATGTACTTTATATGCTCCATGTGCATTTACTCTCAGTAAATATTCTTAAAAATCAAAAAGGTTGTCTGAAGTATACACTACATTGAATCAGTAGCATCTTTAAGTTCATAGTGAAGAAAGGAAACAAAAAAAATATTTTCTCTTCCAAATTGTCAAGATACTTAGGATATTAATAGTGAGAGTTATTTGAATGAGTTAAATCAATATAAGATCTTTATGGTAGTATAATTGTATTTGTCTTCTGAATTTGTTTTGCTCTAGCCTTAATTTCCGTGCTTTTCAACAGTAGAGGAAATGGCTGTTTTCTAGACATACCTGTGGCAGTTTTGTTATAGTGTTTAAAAGGTTAGCTAAGTATAGAGCAGACTGAAGAGTGGTTCTGTTTTCTCATGTGCTTTTGTTAAATTTATTTGCCCAGTGTCAGGTTTTGTCAACAGCAGAAACTGAAGCAAATTGCAGTGCATAAAGATATTTGTCAGAAAGCTCTGAACTGTGGACTAAATTGTCAGTTCTCTTCTGTAAAGCAGACAACTTTGTGAAGTACATACAATGTGAAGTACATCAGGAAACACAGGAGAAAATCTGATTCCTAATTTAAATTGGTTTCTTTTCCTTTTAACCTTGTTTGCTTGTGTTCTACTGTAGTTCGAGATCGGGTTCGGACAAAAATGGAACGCGATATCCTAGTAGAAGTTAACCATCCTTTTATTGTCAAGTTACATTATGGTGAGTTGCATAAAAATTCAATTTTTTAGTGTAAAAATAGGTGTTTGTCAAGATAGTATCTAATGCTTGCTTTGTGGTTCATAGGATCATCAAGGTTGGAGGAGACCTCTAAGGTCATTAAGTGCAACCATTAACTTGCCATTCTGCTGTAACCCCTAAACCCGAAGCCATGTCCTTCAGTGCCAAATCCCGATGCCTCTTAAACATTTTCAAGGATGGTGACTAACCTAAGTCAAGTGTATTCATGTAGAAATTCCATTGTTGACTTGCTTTACGTTGGCATCGCATGGGAGTTACTTGGTCCATGATAAGGGAACAGTTACTCAACTCATTTAAATACAGTTTTCCTTAAATATGTTTTTCACAAAGGAGAAAAAAGAATGTTTTGATAATGAAATAGGGGTGAATTATTTGGTATGTCATTCATCTGATCGTGGGTAAAATTACATAATGTTTAATTTTTTTAATTGATCTTTTCAGCTTTTCAAACAGAAGGGAAGCTATATCTTATTTTGGATTTTCTCAGGGGAGGAGACTTGTTTACACGTTTATCCAAAGAGGTAAACTTTTTAATTTGAAAAATTGTCTGAATGTCTATGTTAACTGAATTTTTAAAAAAATTTCCTTTAATATAATTTCAACTAGCTGAAGTTTCTGTTTTGTTGGGTTTTTGCACAAAGTAATCAATTCATGAAAAGGCTGATGGTAATTTACATTGTTTCTGGAAAATGCTCAGACAAGCAGTTTCTCTGCTGCTTTTCACACTTGGCAAAATTTCCTTCTCCTGTTGCTACCATGTATAAAGGTGAGACTCAGAACATTTGTATAAAGTAATTGTATTTAAATCAACTCATTTCTGTCTGGGTTTGATATCCAGAGTTCTGTTTTAGATAAGGTTTTTTTAATTTACATGTGAATGCAAAATTCCTAAAATAAATGTTAACATTTAATATATTGTATTTTTAAAGGGGTTTTTTGGCCATCACTCATGCAAAAACTTGCAATAAATATGTTAGGACGGAGATGTATAGCCTGGAAATTGTAGCTGCCTTCCATTTTCCCTTGCTACAAGAGTTTCTGGGACAGTTGGGCCACAAATGCAAAGCTATGTGGTTGTTAAGTAGAGAGTAGGATGCAGTGCATTTAGTGTATAGATATATCATCCTAGCCATGCTGACCACATAAATGACTGCGTTTATTTTGGTGAAACCATCTGTTTCAAGTTGCTTCGTGTAGTTTGTTTTGCCACAGATAAGTAGGAGGTTATTAGTGCTCTAAAACTGAGATACTTTTCTCTTTAAATCAATAGTTCATTCTTGATTCCCAAGGAAGAATGGATATGGTTTTCTTGCTGATGACTTCTTCATTTTGAGTCACTCAAATTTTATAAAATGTAACGTGGTTAGATAAGAAATATTCGTTATAGGTACCTGAATCTAAGTGAAGTGTTCATAACTGATGAGTGAAATGAGTGTGCTGGGTGCAATTAACGTCATCCTCATACCAATTCAGGTGATTTTAAAATAGATCAGATGAACTGAAAGTTGCTGCTTTTTCCCTATTGACTACAAAGGGAAAAGTGATTAATTCGAAGCTAGATTTCTACACTGCAGATGTTTAAGGTTAGGAGAGATTAATTCTGTGCAGTATTTTTAAAGAACATAGTGTGGGTGTGTTATCATCCTCACAGGGACTTTTATTATTTGAGCTTTTAAATGTTTCTTAGAGAAATTTCCCTTCTCAAATTCACCTGTACTAAATATTGGCTCTTTTGTAGAACTAATATCAGCAACAACCTTTTGTACAAGCTTTGGTATCACTTTCTCTCTTTAAACTACTAAGGGGAAAATAGATCATATTGTCCATTCTTAACTCTTGCTTAAAACTGCTCATCTTTTCTCCCTATTGCTGTTCTTTGTGCTGGGTCCATATCCTTTTGTCTAAAGATACTAGTCTCAAATTCTAAAACCAAAACAAACAAACTGAATAGTAACTAAATGCCATCAAATCATACAGGATCTCTTTTAATTTTATCTTTTTCTACATTCTTAGAGAAGTTGAATTTTAATGTGTTCTGTCAGGGATCACAACAGTTGATATAACTGGGACAACATGTTCTTTTCAATGAATGTAAACAGGACTTAGTTTACTTTCCTAACTGAAAAAGTGCAATTGCGACCTAGGATCTTACCCTGGGATCTTACATAGGCTATTTCCTTAGTTTACTCAATGATTTACCTTTTCTACAGTTACATCTCAGGCTGGTACCTCGGATTTTTCCCATCACTGTACCTTCTTTCTCGAAGTACTTAGAAACAATCTCCTCAAAACCAAGATACATATGCTTTTCTTGTCTCTGACATTGTAGACAAAATTCAGGTATTTGGACCTCTTTGGTCTGTTTGTTGTCTGGAAATGAAATGGTCCCATCCAGCAAGATGTAGTCACATTCTTTAAGTGCTTCCAAAATTTTTCAGTCCCACTACAATGTGTCTGTCTGTTCTCTTGAACAGTCAGAAACAAAGAACCTCCATTTTGCAGAAAAAAATATTATCTTGCCTTGAAAAAATCTTTTTCAAGGATGTTCAGTTGTTTCAAGTATGAAATAGAATCACAGAATCAGTTAGGTTGGAGCAAGATGTAGTCACATTCTTTAAGTGCTTCCAAAATTTTTCAGTCCCACTACAATGTGTCTGTCTGTTCTCTTGAACAGTCAGAAACAAAGAACCTCCATTTTGCAGAAAAAAATATTATCTTGCCTTGAAAAAATCTTTTTCAAGGATGTTCAGTTGTTTCAAGTATGAAATAGAATCACAGAATCAGTTAGGTTGGAAGGGAAGGGAGTGGGTCGTCTGGTCCAACCTCCCTACTCCAGCAGGGCCATCCTAGAGCAAAGGCTCAGGATTGCATCCAGATGGTTCTTGAATACCTCCAGTGAGGGAGAATCCATGACCTCTCTGGGCAATCTGTTCTGGTGCTCAGTGACTGCACAGTAAAGAAGTTCTTCTTTGTATTCAGGTGGAACTCCTGTGCATCAGTTTTTGCTCATTGCCTCTTTTATTGGTTTCCACCACTGAGAAGAGCCTGGCTCCATCATCTTGGTACTTCCTGTTCATGTACTTGAATACATTAATGAGGTCCCCCTCAGTTGTCTCTTCTCAAGACTGAACAGGCCCAACTCCCTCAGCCTTTCCTCATAAGTGAGGTGCTCCAGTCCCTCAATCATCTTTGTTGTGCTCCACTGGACCTGCTCTAGGAGCTCCATGTCCCTCTTGTCCTGAGGAGCCCAGAACTGCACACAGTACTTCAGGTGTGGCCTCACCAGGACTGAGTAGAGAGCCAGGATCACCTCCCTCAACCTGCTGGCAATACTTTTCCTAATCCATCCCAGAATTCCATTGGCTGGCTTAGCCACAAGGGCACACTGCTGGCTCATGAACAGCCTGTTGTCCACCAGGACCCCCAGGTCCTTCTCTGCAGAGCTACTGTCCAGCAGCTCAGCACCCATGCTGTGCTGGTGCTCAGGGTTATTCCTTCCCAGCTGCAGGACTCTGCATTTGCCCCTCTTGCATTTCAGTTGGTTCTTCTCTGCCCATCTCTCCAAGCTGTTGAGGTCCCTCTGAAGGGCAGCACAGCCCTCTGAGGTATCAGCCACTCCTCCCAAGTCTGTATCATCAGTGAACTTGCTGAGAAGGCAGCTCTGTCCCCTCGACCAAGTCATTGATGAGTAAGCTGAACAGTACTGGGCCCACTGTAGAACCCTAGGGGACACCACTAGTGACAGGTCTCCAAGTAGACTCTGTGCCACTAAAATAATATGGGTTATAAAATCCTCGGGTTTTTGTCTAACCAAGAAATTTTAATTCCTAGTGTTTTTTATAGAAATTAATTCAAGTATTATGAAGAACCATTCTAAAAAACTGTTGTTGTTATTTAGTTGGTTCTGGTGTAAGCTTTACAGGTTTTACATGTAAAATGCATTGTGTTGCTTTTTCAGGTGATGTTCACAGAAGATGATGTTAAATTTTATCTGGCAGAACTAGCACTTGCTTTAGACCATCTGCATAGTCTTGGAATAATATACCGGGACCTAAAACCAGAGAAGTAAGGCTCTTCTGTGGAAAACTCAGTGTATTAATTTCCATTCTTCTAGCATTTCTTACTATGCACTTAAACTTCAGTAATTTACTGTACAAACTGAACAGAGGGAGGTGAGGGAGGTTTGTGAGCTATTTTCATTTAAAAGATTGAATTTCACCTGCCTCAGAGGGGAAGAAGGATCTTAGCTTAGGAGTTGATAGGGCTCATTGAGAGAGCTTTCAACTGTGTTTGAAGCTGGACAAAGCAGAGAGAAGCCTGGGGGTTTGCATACCACTGTTTGAGGGACAGTGTGCTGCCAGGGGCCTTTGGTCTGCCATTTCAGTGGAGGTAGGGGATGGAGATCCATATGGCAGACAGGATACAAGGATTATTGATATATTGGAAATTCTGGAAGTACATAAGAACAGTCAGGAATTAGTGCTTCTCCCCACAAAAAGGCATCAGGGTCCTTAGCCCAACTAAAGTGCATCCAGACATGTGCATGCAGCATGGGCAGCAAACAGGAGGAGCTGGAAGCTGTTGTACAGCAGGAAATCTGACATAGTAGCCATCACTGAGACATGGTTGAATAACTCACACAACTGTAATATTGCAATGGATGGCTATGAAATCTTCAGAAGGGACAGGCAAGGAAGGAGAGGCAGCAGGGTACCCTTCATGTTAGGGAGTGTTTTGATTGTCTGGAACTTGATGATGGTAATAATGGAGTTGAATTCTTATGGGTAAGAATCAGGGGGAAGGTTGTTACAGACCTCCCAACCAGGATGAAGACATAGATGAAATATTTGACAAGCAGCTGGGAGAGGTCTCACAGTCACTAGCGCTTGTTCTCATAGGGCAGTTCAGCTTATGAGATGTCTGCTGGAAATAGAACACAGCAGAGAGGAAACAGTCCAGGAGGTTCCTGGACTGTGCAGAAAATAACCTCCTGATGCAGCTGGTGAGGAAGCCAGCTAGGGGAGGTGCCCCACTGAATCTGTTGTTTGTAAACAGAGGAGGGCTGCTGGGTGATGTGGTGGGTGATTAGAGGCCATCGTGGGTCCAGTGATCACGAAATGATAAGTTTTCAATTCTCAGAGAAGGAGGAGGGTCAGCAGAACTGCCTTCTTGGACTTCTAGTGGGCAGACTTTGGCCTGTTTAGGAGATTTGATTGACAGAGTCTCTTGGGGAGGCAGTTCTGAAGGGTAAAGGAGCCCAGAAGGTTGGCCATGCTTTAAGAAGGAAATCTTAAAGTCACAGGAGGAGGCCACTCCCATGCTGCAAAAACAAGCTGGTGGGTAAGACCAATAGTCTGGCTGACCAGAGAACTTTGGCTGGAACCCAGGGAGAAAAAGTTTGTCACCTCTGGAAAAAGTGCAGCTCAGGAAGACTACAAGGATGTCATAAGGTTATGCAGGGAGAAAATCAGAAGGGCCAAAACGCAAACAGAACTTTATGTGGCTACTGCTGTACAACATCAAAAAAAGTTTCTACAAATACATCAGCAGCAAAAAATGCCAAGGAGAATCTCCATCCTTTGTTGGATGTGGAGAGAAACATAGTGACTAAGAAAGAGGAAGTTGCACTTGAATGTTGTGTCTTTCCATTTGAAAGCCTGACAGCAAACCGTTTTTATCCAATGCTGAATTTTAACATGCACTGCAGTAAGAGCAGAATGAAGTTGAAATTTGAAAGTAAAATAGGAAAATACTAAGTCACAGGCTTTATTTAGTGTATTGACAATCACATAATTACACTGAAAACTTAAAATAAGTTTGAAGCTACAATTCCAATACAGTGTTGTGTCTTCATATATTAGTCATCCATGCTTCATTCAAATGACTGATTTTCGTCTCCTGTTTATGTCCTTCCTCCCATAATTCTTGTGGGATTTTTAGTTCTGGAAGATGTAAAGGAGAAAATAGAAAAATGTTTAGCACTGACTGACAAGAAGGGAAAGATTCATACTCAAATCAGGAATTGGAGAGTTTTTGGCATAGGATTGCACTTGCAAATGAACAAGGAAAGAATTAGGTTTAAACTTTGAGATTACTCTGTTAAGCAGTTCAGAAGTGAGGAAAAATTAGCTTGCTATGTGGAAAAAGATCTTTAGAAAGCAGAGCAAGAGAACTTCAGTTATTCTGCTAGCATTGACTTCCAAGAGGAAAAGGATGAAATAGTAATTGTCAGAAGACTAAGTAGCTACTGCCTTATATATAGGGTGGATTTTGGGATGGTTTCGTTTGGGTTTTTTTAAATACTATCTGTCTATACCTATTGAAAAGATACGGTTTTAAGCCTTGGGTGCATTTAATATTTTTTAAAAAAAAAGTAAGTCCAAATGTTGAAATTTCTTGCAAGTTATGGATAAGAGAGTAGTAATTCTCATAGGCTGTGTCTATACTGTGGGGCAGTTTCCCACCGTGGAAACTGCAAAGAGGAAAAGGAAATGGATGGGGAAATGGACAGATAGGGTGTGCCTGGGCCACGTCTCATCCCCAAGATGAAATGCAGCTCCTCACAGGAGAAGCTGGAGGAACTAAGTTCACTGTGTAGGTGGTGTTACAAAATCCAGTTCTTGAACACTTTGCATGCTTTGAAATGCAGTTCCATTCTGTGGAGGTTAAGGATACTTGGTGTCTCAGAGAAGTGTTGCCTTTCTGTGACTGAAATGAAATCAGAAGTGCAAGGTAGAAGCTCCAAGTGTAGGGCCTGTGGGTCCTGTCCTTTGGTACAACATGAGAATATTTATTGCCTGATGTTATTTGAAGTGGTCAACACCCTTTGAAATGGTAATTACAAATTAACACCCGTTTGTATACATGGGCCAACATACCTTGTATTGACATGTCTTGCTCAGTTTAAGAGAAACAGAACTGCACTTCTGTTTTAAACAGTTGTGGTGATGCTGCACGTGCTGCAAATGGCCAAAACTGAATGTTCAGATAAAATGCTGCTACTTAATGTGTTGAATTTAACCAAATAGTTAAATAAAACTCTGATGAGCTAATTATGTTTCATAATACTTTAAAATAAAGAATTGAAGAAAAGAAAATGTCATTGCAAAGTACCTGCTAATAATTCATTTTCCTGCATGTTCAATTATTCTTGCCTTTATGTATATTGTTCTGTTTATTCCTAAATGTTGTCAGTATGTTGTCTGAAACAACCATTAAAAGATACCTTAATTAGTTTTTTAATATTCTTTTTATTGCTTTTTAGCATCCTGCTTGATGAGGAAGGACATATCAAATTAACAGGTGAATAAAGGGAAATTGCAGTAACTGAGTATTTTCTGTTCATAATCTTTGCATTTTCCTTTTTGTTTGGTAAGGCAATATGGGAAAATAAGTAATTTTAACTGATAGGTAATTTTCCTGTGGAGCAAGTAGTGTAATTGGCTTGAAATAAATGAAATATATGCACATTTCAGTAAGATATCTGCTTTACAAGTATATTTGATGTTACAGACTTGTCACAGTGCAGGGAGGGGAGGAGAATTCTGTAATTCCCATATGAGTATTTGATTGTATGTACAAATGATATAAGCATCATATTTCACACTGCAGTAAAAGTATCAACCATGGGTGATTTTTAAAAATTTACATTTGGAACTATTTTCTTTCAGATTTTGGCTTAAGTAAGGAGTCAATTGATCATGAAAAAAAAGCCTACTCTTTCTGTGGAACAGTGGAATATATGGCACCAGAAGTGGTCAATAGGCGAGGCCATACCCAGAGTGCAGACTGGTGGTCTTTTGGTGTTTTAATGGTAGGTTTCTGGCACATGTCAATAATAGCAAAACTACTTTGCCAGGTGTGGTGAAACAAATCAAACACTTAACCTCGAAGGTGAGCTTGACATGGATTCTAACTGCCAAGAAAGTCTAAATTATATGAAATTAATAACACCAGAGTTTCTATCAGGAGTATGGACTAGGTATTATATTGACACCAACAATATGCCAGATTTTTATTAGCATTGAGTTCAAATACTTCATATCTGTGGTAGATAGAATGTTATGGAGAATAAAAATACTGAAGTGTACACAAAAAATGAAAGCAGGGAAGAAATTTAGATCCAGATTTTAAGTTTGAATTTATTTTCAAGAGGAAAAAGAAGAGCGATAACTTTCTAATTGGTCTACAGCATAATTAGAAGTTAGTGGAATAATGACAGCTGTTGCTCTCACACATCAAATAATCTAAATGACACTGAGCTTATAATGGGGTATAGTTCCCTATGGCATTTCTGCAAGGGTTAATTACTATGAAGTTGCAGGGTCAGAGGAAATAATATGTATATGGAGTATGAATTTGGGAAAGGATAATAGATTGTCTGGTATTTAAGGAATCCTGAATGGCCTAATATTTTAATTTGTGTATTTTTGACAGAGATTAAATAATTGTATTAAAGAAAATGTTTGTTTCTTATTGCTCCTGCTACATATGACTGTAACAGTACAATTAATGTGTGCTTTGTAGTTCAAGAAGGACTCTTGTGTCTGAAAATAGGTCATCCTATCACTTTTTAATCATTTAGAATGCTGTTGTGATCTGAAAACTGACTATGTAAAAGTAGCACCTGATAACTAAACTCTCCAAGCAAGCACACACAGACCCCTCACAACTGCACATTTTATCAGTAGCAACACAGCCAATTAAAAGACAGTTATAGTGTAGTTGCAGAACATTTGTTGTTGATAACACAGTTAAACTTCAGATTTACTTTATAAAGCTGGAAAACATAATTTTGTGTTTATCAAGTGCATACAGTAAAATTGAAAATGACTGAAAGACGTTAGATGTGGTGCATGGAATACAGTGAGGTTTTCTCTTAAGACATATTTTTGTTGCTTGCATTTCTAGTTGGTCATTTTCATATCCAATCTCTATGTATCCACTTTTAAATCATTCTGAATTACAATCTGTGTTGATCAAAAAATCAGGTGGTGTTGGTGTGCTGTAAATACACAGTATCTAGATTGAACAGAAGTAGTGGCATAGAAATGGAGACTAGAAAGATAGCTCACCAGCTCATTTGGCCTCTTTTCTCATTCTGCTAGACACAAAGTACATTTAAGCCATTGTTGAGAAGTATATTCCAATTTGTCCTTTAAAGCAGGGACAGTTTTAGGGGATGCCATGCATCTAAAAACATACATTTAAAGTTTTTAGCAGCGTTGAAATATTTATTGAAATAAACAAAGATGACTAGGGAAGGCCAATGTTGGCTTGTTCTTAAAGTACTATTGGCCTATTAATGCTGGAGTAAAGCATTGCGGGGGACAAAGAATACATGTGCTGAGCTGTTAATACTAATGTGTATGCTTGTGACAAATTAGGAGCTTGCTAAAGAAACTTTGTGTTTCAAGCAAGTGTAAGCAAAACATGAAGCACTTGAAATTTTCATTATTCATTCAAGTTATCCATGTGCATTTTTCATGTTTAGAAGGATGAATGCCTGGGTCGTACCAGAAGAGAAGGGGAATAGAGGATACCTTGTGTTCAGGATGACTTAAGTTTTCATAAGCTATTCAGAGAGTTGCTTTATAATTAGTTTAATTTTGATGTCTTTAAGTCTGCCACGAACTAAATTATTTTGCAGTTCTTAAACCAGAAAATCAGGATTTCTGCCTAAGAGTGTTGGCTGCCATGTCTGCTGCCAGGCTGCTTTCACTGCCTCACTTAGCTCTGTATCCCTACAGTATACTGCAGTCCAACGGGAGTGCCTTTATATGGATCTATTTTTACTCAGTCACTTTCAGAACAAATCAGTATTTTGACAGTGTCTGTTGCTTACTACCAGGCACTGTAGAATGTGCATGACATACTGTGTAGCTCCTACGTGTTCCTTCAGGCTTTATCTCCACTGTATGCATACAGTAACCACTTTTCATCATGCATGTCTTTGTCAATCAACTAACCTTTTTCCCCTTTCCAATGAAGGCTATGTACATGCCAATTTAAAATTTTGACCTTTTTAAAAATCCCTGCATGAGGAGAAGTCATCACTAACTTTTGAAAGGGGAATCTTTTTCCCTACCCCTTACTTTATTGAAAACTAAAATACAGTGATATAGGTCAAGTCTTCCAAGAATAAACATTTTAGGTAGAAATGAAACATGGAACATTACAGTCTAAATTGTTCAAATAAAAAGCATGTAAAGTGAGGTATCAGTGTAGGAAAATATTTTGCAGCTTTGAAAATGGCAAAGGCTGCTCAATGTTCATAATAATTTAAACTGTACAATGAAGTTGTTTTGCACAGACTTGATTGTTAACATGCATGAATTTTGGAAGGTTAAGATGCTAAGTAGTTTTGTCAAAAATTAGTTTTTGTCCAGGTAATGTAATTGATGAAAGTTTTACTCTATACAGTTTGAAATGCTCACTGGTACTCTACCTTTCCAAGGGAAAGACAGAAAAGAAACCATGACTATGATTCTCAAGTGAGTACACTCTTATTTATATATCTCATCAGGTATTCTACAGGGATGCCCTCCGGGCTGCAATATCTAATTTCTACTCTTCCCTCATTTTCAAAGGTACTGGTAAATCCTCACTCCCTATTCCATATTATTAATTCCCTTTACCACCTATCTAATTTGCTTTTCTATTCCTCTCCCATACCAGGTACAAAGAATTTCATAGCAGCTCTTTAATCTGTAATAGTAACTTCTCCAACCATATGATCTTTCCCATCTTATTTCCATATTTTTTAACTTTCTTATCCTTTTTGATAACCTGTGATTTTTATTTTTGGTTTGGTTTGGTTTAGGTTTTGGGGTTTTTTTTTTAGAAAGCATTTTCTCTCCTTATCCTTCTTTATATTACCAGCTCCTCACCCTACTTCTTTATATTAATGATGCTGCCAACAACTTGATTCCCCAATACCTCCCCTATTTGCTAAAGTGCATCCTTCCTTCTGTATTCTCCTATGACTTGCCCAAGCTCCAATTTCCCCCTTTGCTATTTTCAGTATAGATTTTGCATTAGCTATATTGTGGAAATTGCTTCCCTTCATGCAGTTAATGTTCTTGGTTTTGCTAATGAGGGTCTGCTTTTTTTTTTCCTTGCTGATTCCCTACATATTCTTTAAACTAGTACAACCTATGACATAACTGCCCCACTTTTGGGACCGTAGCCAGACGCTGTGCAAACTCTGTTTCCTCATACCATAGTTTCACTTCTCTGCTTCCATCAATTTTAACTAATACCATTTTTTGTCATGGAAGCTCCTAAGACTATTTCAGGTTTCTCATTTGTTTTCTGCTTCGTTGTTTATCATTGTTCTTAGTCCCGTTACCACTTGTCTACTCATATATCAGAGCTAACATTTCTTTTGCACCAATGGCCTGTTTTGAAAAGTAAATATATGAAATTCTTTCTTGTTTTTTTCCTAAGTAATTAGAATTTGAAAACTGTTACAAAATACTCGTTCTTTTCTTCGCTTTTGCTTTCATAATGTTATTCTTTGCCCTTGTTTTTGTTCCTCATCTTATTTGCAAATGTATTTAGTGACACTAGTTTATTCTGCTACCTCAGCACCATGCCAGTTCAGATCTTCATGTTGTGATTATTCAAAGAACTAAAAGGTTCTATCTATTCATGGCAAGTGTAAACTCCTTCTGACCACCTCATATTTACAAGAAGCTAGTCTGAGACAGTTCTGCTGCACTTTCACTTATTTCAGGAGCCATGCCTTTTTTTTTTTTCCTATCAGTGTCTCATGAGTCACATCTTTCTCTTCTTCCCTTTGCCTGCATGTGACTCCACTCTGTTCCTCAACAGTCTTTTCACTGTTGCTATAAATATCTTCTGTATTCAGCTGCCATGTAGAATATCCTCCTTGCATCTCCCCAGCTTATTGACATTCAATCATCCATGGCTCTGGGAAGGGGGGTGGTGAATGGACTGAAATCCAGTTGGTGGCTGATCACAAGTTATTTTCCCCAGAGCTCAGTATGGGGGCCAGTTCTATTTAGTATCTTTATCAACAATCTGGACAGGGAGATCAAAGACACCCTTAGTCAGTTTGCAGAGACCCCAAGTTGGGTGAGAGGGAACGTGGATCTTCTGGAGGGTAGAAAGACTCTACAGAGGGATCTGGACAGGTTAGATAGATGGGCCAAGGCCAATTGTATGAGGTTCAATGTGGCCAAGTGCCAAGTCCTGCACTTGGCCATAACAACCCCATGCAAAGCTCCAGCCTGAGGGAAGTGTGTCTGGAAATCTGCCCAGCAGAAAAGGACCTGGGAGTGTTGGTCAGCAGTGGCTGAACATGAGCCAGCAGTGTGCACATGTGGCCATGAAGGCCAAGGGCATCCTGGCTCGTGTCAGAAGCAGCGTGACCAACAGGACTAGGGTAGTGATGCTCCCTCTGTACTTGGCACTGGTGCAACCACACCCTGAATCCTGTGTTCAGTTTTGGGCTTGTCACTACAAGGACGTTGAGGTGCAGGACTGTGTCCAGAGAAGGACAACGGAGCTGGTGAAGGGTCTGGGACACAAATATTCCAAAGAGTGACTGAGGGAGCTGGGGGTGTTTAGCCTGCAGACCAGCAGGCCTTACCCCTCTACAGCTACCTGAAAGGAGGTTGTAGCAAGGTCTCTTCTCCCAAGTAAGAAACAACAGGACGAGAGGAGATGGCCTTGAGTTTTGCCATGGGAAGTTTAGATGGAATATTAGGAAAATTTCTTAAGGAAAAGGGCTGTCAAGCACTGAAACAAGCTGCCCAGGGAAGTGGTGGAGTTAACTTCCCTCGAGGCTTTTAAAAAAGACATATAAATGTGGAACATATGGACATGGTTTTGTGGTGGACTTGACAGTGCTGGGTTCATGGTTGGACTTGGTGATCTTAAAGGTCTTTTCCAGCCTGAACAATTATAGGATTTGGGGATTTTGCAATTACTTTCAGATTTTGTCTGCGCATGTATCTCTCAATTCCTTTTCCAACTTATTTCTTTTTTCACCTTCTAGTCTTTGTAATTATTAGTTTCAAATACCTGCACAGAAAGCGTGCCAAGATGTAAAGAAATTTTACCCTCTTTTAATGTTTTGTATGCATATGAATGTTACATACATAGAACTGTTTTGCTGTTGGTAGTGTGAACAGCTGAAAAACAGAAGATATTTTAAATTGTTTTCTGATAATTTCACACTTTTTTTTCTGCCCATATATTTTGTTTTTATTTTCTGCATTGTATGTAGTATGTTTTTCCTTAATTTTTTTGTAAAACTTTAAAATGGACAGCTAATACGTATGAACTTATATTTCCATAGTGTATCATTTAAGATATATTGCTTTTCTTACCTTCTGTTTCTAAAAATCCACAGAAAATGCATTCTTCCTACAACAAATGTTTTTCTGAGGTATTTTGCGCAACATTAACAAGTTTTTGTTTATTCTTGTGTGTTTTACCTAAAACTGAGAAAATCTGCAGTTTGAAGAAATCATAGGTTGCAGCAATAAAGTTAATTTTTTTAAACATCTTTTCTCCTTTACCGAAGAGGTAAAAAAAGTATAAATAATAAAATTTTGTCTTTGTCCATCAGGAATGTCAGAAAAAAATTGCTGTCACTCATGTAGTTGTGTAACATAGGAACTATGAGAACCTGGTGATTTGCCTTTTCTTCTACTCTGTCACTTGTCCAATAAAGGATTTTGTGAAAGGTGCTTCTTCATTATGGAGGAGTAATGAGAGTCTTAATCTCTGTGGTTTCACAAGGGCCTCTAGTTCACCCTGCCGTGGACTGCAGTACATACCAGTACTGTAGAATTTTTTCTGCATATTCTGTTTCTGTCTATTGAGTCACTTCTCCATAAGATTAACTGCAGTTATGTTTTTGGCCTGGTTTTAGATGTTTGTAAGCAGTTGACCTCTCATGCTGAACCTCCAGGACTGCATCCTGGTGTTGGAACTGTTTTGGATTATAACAGGACAAAGATTCCTACCTACTCCAGCACAGTCCTGTCATATTTATTTGTCTGTTTTCAGTCCTTCAGTAACATTGTAAATTATACCATTGAGCTCCTGTGGACAATGTGTTCTCTGCTTCCTGCTTTCAGTGTAGCTCTGTGATACTTGAGTATGAGCAGATCATCATCAAATGAACATGCAGTGAAATCACAATATTAAGTGCATGAGTAAGAATTCAGCTTCTGTTGCTGCATGGCAGGCAGGAAGCATTGGATACCCCACTGGTCATTCCTCCACTCCGTTGGTGGCATTGATCTGCCTGTGGTATTTTATTGAAGGGCTCAAAGAAGGCAAAGGTTTTCAGATATTTCTTCCTCCCTGTCCTCAGCTTCCTTAATGCCAAGAGAAATGGAAAATTTAGTAAATTCTAGTTTTAAAGTAGTGAATATTGAGTGAGTGGCAACACATATGCACTTGCTGTAGTGGCACAAAGGTGGAAATCTACAAATACCTGGAATACAAGCAAATCAGATCTGGTTGAAAAGCACAGAAAGCCTGTGTCATGGACTGTTACAGAAAAATGAAAGCTACAGGTTGAATTAGTGATGGAAAGGGGGGAATTTCATCCATCCTTACCATTATCATCGTTATCAGAAAAAGTGAGCCCTGGTAACAGTGAGAGGATGGAGGCTCAATATTGAATGGAGAGGGGGAAAGTATAGCAAGGATTACAAAACAATTAAATGACAGAACTACAAAAACTTACATGTAAAAATTCAAGACTAGCAAGTTGGAAAAGTAATATTTGAAATAGATTGAGGAGGGAAGCAAAAAGAAAGGAGTGATCTTTTTCTCTCTTTTTTACCTACTAATATTGCAAGATCTGTCCTACCTTAATTTAGTTACTATTTGCTAGCTTAGGTTTCCTGTTGTTATTCTTGGTGTATGTCATACGGTGGTAGTTTTCTTCCTAAACTGTCTTTTATATAGCTGTCAGAATGATTTGTTTGGGGTCTTTTGATAGTAATTGGGCTTTTAAAATTGAGTCAAAGCATATTGCAAAAATTTACAAGTTTGTAAACTGCTATCCTGTAGCTGTTCTTCTCTATACATTTTGCTCCCTCTTCTGCTACTTCAACTACCTGAGTCATTACAGAAAATATTACATTACTCAAAAAAAACAAACAAAAAGCCAAACCAGACATGTTTACATGACTGACAGCACTTTAGTTCTGTGTCTGATGTCTGAAGGCAAATTCTCAGTGATGCTACTTTGTTTGTTAAGGATCTGTTGAATGACAAAAGACAGGGGGAATGCAGAGTTAATTCTTACCTAAATATATTTGTATACTAGTAATTATTTTTATTCTATAGGGCCAAACTTGGAATGCCCCAGTTCTTGAGTCCTGAAGCACAGAGTCTCCTCAGAATGCTCTTCAAAAGAAACCCAGCAAACAGATTAGGTAAACTGTTCAGCAGAATATATTAAATTTGATCATAATATTCATAACATCAGTGCTCATTAAACTGGCAAAATAAGTTTTGTTTCTTGTTGAAAACAGGCTTTGAAGTGAGAATGTAGTTTGCCTGTTTGCTCTTCTAGTGATCAGCAAAGTATTATCATTTCTGCTAGTCATACATCTAAAATCAATGTAGAAGAAATAAAAAATATAATCTTGTTAGCCATTCCTTTGACCAAGAAGAAAATAATTCACAGTCATTTTTCTTCCTTATAAAAGGAGCAGGTCCAGATGGAGTTGAAGAAATTAAGAGGCATGCATTCTTTTCCAAAATAGATTGGAACGTGAGTGTCTAATTCAAAATTAATTCAGTAAATTTCTTGGTTAAGTCTTTGGTGGTGTCATATAACTTTTCCATTTGCTATGTGTTCCTTCTCTTCAGAAATTGTACAGGAGAGAAATTCATCCCCCTTTTAAACCTGCAACTGGCAGACCTGAAGATACATTTTATTTCGACCCTGAGTTTACAGCAAAAACTCCAAAAGGTAAACAGATAAGAATGAAACAATTTGCATGTTCAAAAAATAGAATACTAGATATGATAGAATGATAGAAATCATTCTTTACTAATTTAGGGTGTAACCAAAATTTCAGTTCTTGTCCTCCAAAAATATAACATAGATCTGCTGCTATATGTAAATATTTTTGCTGAGTACTTGTTTTTTTAATTATCAAACTATGTGATTATCAGTGTTTCTAGATGATACATACAAAGCAATTCATGAATTATTTGTATTTTCATCCTCAAACACTGTCTGCAAATTCCAGTCTTTGTACTTCGTAGAATAAAGCTATAGTTTGCTCCTCAGATTAGACATAATTTCATATCTACATTTTAAAAACTCTGCTTGTAAGTGCACGATGTGTTTTTCAGATTCACCAGGTATCCCACCCAGTGCTAATGCACATCAGCTTTTTCGGGGATTTAGTTTTGTAGCTATTGCATCAGATGATGAAAGCCAAGCAATGCAGACAGTTGGAGTGCATTCAATTGTCCAGGTGAGTACATGTGCTTTAAAAAATAAATCAATAAAGCAGTATTGCTGCCTCTTGTTGGAGGGATTGTTTCCTTCCTCACAGAATGAAGTACCTTGAGCGAGTCATTAGCAGCTTTTATACAAGAAAAGTAAAGAACAGATTATTTTATCTAAACAAAATCTCTGAAGGTGCAGGACTTGTTTTTTCACTGAGCTGCTACAGGTGTGAATAGGCTTCAACCCTTAAATGGAAACATTCTACCTCCTGTATTATATTAATGCTAATATCAAGCCATAATTATAAGGTGGAGGAGAATAGCAGATGTCTTGATTTATTTTTATTATTTTTCCCCATGCATGAAGATATCAGTTGATTCCTCCAATGCAGTAATAGGAGGCACTGGAGTGCAATTCTGGATGTATATGGATGTTTCGGACTGCTGTGCATCCTGGAATCCATGACCCACAGCATACCCTGTCCCTCCCAAACCTCTTCATTTGCTAAACTGTACTGTTTTGTGTCTGATTTCAGTGCATCATACTTGTATTAGAAGTATTAGAAACTTGTATTAGAAGTATTAGACTCCACTACAGTCTCATGTATTAATAATTGTGAGACTATCACTTTTAATAGCCTAAGGCAGTTGCTATTCTTATATATTCTGTTACTGCCAAAACTGCTTATTTTTGGGCAACAGACCTTTGGTAAGGTGCTGACTCCAGTGAGACAAGGAAGGTGGGCCTCATGCTAGAATGGGGAGGGGCTTGCCTTGCCTCCCTATGAGGCTGAGCTCATTCCAAAAGCATCCTTCAGCACTGGAGAGTTTACAACCACTGAGAAAAAAGCAGATTCATGTACAGGAAAGAAAACTGGAAGGCATCTGCAGAAATTGTACTTCTGTATTCTCATTCTGCTTTTAATAATTCTAATTACTGAGTTACGGAAACGAACTGGTGATCACAATTGTGTTGAAAACTTCTAAATGTATAGGTAGGAACAGAAAGGTGTGCTGTATGGTTGGGTTTGTTTGTATTTTTCACTGCAAGGATGTTTTGCAAAATTCTAAGAAAATGTAAAAAATCCACAATTTATTAAGAACGTGAATAGCTCTTGTCTTTCTTAATACTCTCACTACACCTAGAATTGTCACAACATGCTTATTTCTAGACATCACTGTTTCATGTGTAATAAATTTTTTTAAATATAAGTTTAGCTCCTTTTTTTTGTTCTCAAGAAGCTGTCGGGTTTGATATGTGCATCATAATTACTTCTGGTCCTGATACCTTGCTAACAGTTTCCACAAGCTTTTCTGTAGTGCTTCTTTCCCCTGTAGTTTTGGGGATGAAATGATTTCTCTTTATATATGGTTTCCTTCTCTTGTAAAGGTCTGTTTCTCTGCTGCCTTCCCTCTGTGCCCCTCAACCGCTTCCTCAGTCTGATTTCCTCTTTTCTGTGCTGCAGGATACCCAGATGGTTTCCTGCAAATGCTTTGCATCCTTTGCACAGACTCCTTACACTAGAACACCATTTCCTTCCCGTACAACAGTGAACACTTGTGCTTCTTTCAGCTTTTTATTTTTGTGAAAGGATTTTTGACTGCTATTCCATGCAATTCCAGTTAATCTGATTCTATTCAGGATGTTTGAATTTTCCACCTGGCACTCCTCTGTCCATTCATATAATAGAAACAGTGATAATTCTTTACCATTGCTGTATCACTGTTTTATCTGTAAGTCTTCTGTTTTTCTTTGGTTTGGAGAGTCTGTCTTTAATAATTCTAAAATACAGTGTGCATTATTTGCAGTGTGGCTGATATATAATTGATCTCATACAAATTTAAAACAGAAGGTAGTGGCTGTTAGACCACTTTGACCTAGTACAGTCGTCAGTTTAAATTTGGAAGCAAATCAAGGAATGAAAAAACCTTATTTTAATGAAAAAGATCAGTTAGATATTAAGAATATTCATCAATTGATAATGTTATTTTGGTAGCAGTTGCACAGGAACAGCATTCAGTTTACTGATGGATATGAAGTAAAGGAAGATATTGGAGTTGGGTCGTACTCTATCTGCAAGAGATGTATTCATAAAGCTTCAAACATGGAATATGCTGTGAAGGTAATTACTTTGTTATACGCTATACTTTTCAGATCTTAGCATTGGGCATCTAATTTATTTGCCATAAAGAACATAGCAGATTAAGATATTTTTTTTAATATAAAAATATTTTGTATGCAGCTGGAACTATACTAGTCAACCAAATAGAATATATACTGGCAGATATTTATGTAGAATTTCTATGGGGTTTGGGTGGTGAAAGGCAGTCTTCAGTCTTCAAATCATCTTTATAATTATGGCAAAACTGATGGGAGTTGCAAGACTTCTTCTAGCAGGAAATGTACTATGAAAAGCTTACATGACTTTTGATCATATTTTTAAAATGTGATTGATTCTTTTTACTTCAACATAGATATGTATAGGGTTTTTTTGCTTCCAAAGTAAATTCCTAAATTCTCAGATGGCTAGTAGCTCCTAACAGTCATGAGTCTGGTATACTTTCTAGAATAAACTTCAACTCTGTCTTTGCTTCCTAGTTTTCAGCAAGGTTTTTAGTATTGCTTTTATGTCACTCTATTGGGCTTTCTAACACTTCTTTGAAGGCATTAAGTTCTTAGCCAAAATCAGTAGATTTTCCAGAACTGCAATGATAAGGTGTTTTGTCTTTCTGTACAGCACTGTGCAACTGAATGGCTGCTACGAAAGCAGGAGTACAGATTAGCAGAATTTATAAGTGAAAAAAAAAGCATTTAAATTCTGTCCTGTGAGGCAGTTCTCTTTTTTTGAATTGTTGAACAGTTTCCTACTTATGTAAAATGCAAAGATGAATTAAGTATGTTTTGCTGTATCTTCCTATGTAGATTGCCTGCTGGAAACCTTCCAATTTCAATTTGGTACTTAAATACTTATCTTTATTCTGGTTCTGGCCAGGAACAGATTTGACTTCTGTGCTTGGAGTTTGGAGTAATTTCTTGAAACTGGAAGAAAGTACTGGTGTAGCTGTTAATTCTCTCAGCAGTAACATTTGTTGTGAAGATCACTCTGCTATTGTTTCTGTTATGACAGTTTTTTCCTCAAGGAATAATGGAAAAAGAATAAGATGATCAGTGTCCAATGTGTTAGGATGGTGTTGGTAGCAGTAAGGGCTTAAGGATGAAGCGGTAAGACAGATGGAGAAGACAATATAAGAAATTCTACAGTTCAGGAGAGAAAAAAGAGATGAATAAGAATACTTTCTAAGTAGGGCAAAATAATATTTTGCTTGTTTGCACAGGGAGAACTTCAGAGCCTGATAGCAAGTCTCCAGAGATTCAAATGGACTTTGATAATGAATGCTTGTTAGAATTAACTCTGATAAATGCTTCCTTTTTCTGTTTTTTTAAATTCTCTTACACTCATGCTTTATCTTTGGCTGCACCAAATATTTGTTTGAGATTAGCAGTGTGATAATCAGTTCATTAGCATCATCACACCAGTATCTCATGTCAATTTAGGAAGTTCCTATTTTATTAAATGATGAGTGACTGAAGTCTTATCTGCTAAACAGCCTTGCAGTATTTATCACAGCCAGAGGGATCAGATCACTTAGCCTCCAAAACTGTTTTCAACAGACATTTTTCCATTTTATGCTTTGCCTTGTTGTTCCAATTTAACAAACTTGGTTTTGGTTATAGTCCATGCCCTTGCAACAATAATGTTTATCTGTTTATGCTACTAAGCACACCAAAGCATTACAGTATAAAATACTCACAAAAAGAATTATACCTATGTATCTATTTCCTCTTACAGATTATTGACAAGAGTAAAAGAGATCCAACAGAGGAGATTGAAATCCTACTGCGCTATGGACAGCATCCAAATATTATTACCCTAAAAGATGTAAGTGATGTTTTAAAGACTTCCTTCAGTGTATTGTAATTGTGTGTCACTTTTTAATTTGAGAGGTGGCAAATTACATGTTTTAGATTTCTGTTCATGTTTTTCAGTATTTAGAAATAAAACAAAGTCCCAATGCAATTTATTCAACAGTATCCAACTTTTTACTGAGATGTCTCATTGTTTTCACTTAAAGATGATGATATTTTGGTACCACTTAGTCCTAAGGAGTCAAAATAATTCATAAGTCCTAGCACAAGAATATTTCATTTAATGTTGGCTGTATTTTTAAGGCAACAAGCAAGTTTTTTGATTGCTTAGTTATCTTCAAATTGGCTTTTGTTTACATTAATCAAAAGTGATTTTAATGTACTTTCTATAACTAAGGACTCATTATTAGCACTATGCGCAAAGTAGTTTTCATTGATAGTAATGAATGTTCCTCAGTAATAGACAAAACCTTTTCCTATCTTTGGTTGTGACTCTTCTTTACCTGCTGTCTATATCTGGTCTTTGTATGGAACATTATCTAGCTATTTGTTCTTGTTTTATTTGCTCTGACCATAGAAATGCTTTGACCATAAAAAGCAAAGAATAACATAAGTTGGGAGGTAGAGGCTTTTCATAGTGAACAGTACATTTTGATGATCTAACAGGAAAAGAAAATTGTCTTCCTCTACTTGATTATTCATTATGGAGGATTAAAAATTAAAAAGGCCTATAGTTAATGACTTTCTTAGACTGCAGAAAGATATTCTGGTCCCCCAAACCAAACCTCAAGCAAAGCAGCAAACCATTTCCAGGAAGCTGAGCTCAGCTGAAGGGAGATGGTCAGACATTTTAACCTTATTAAAACAATAGCTCCTAAGTACTGTGGAGATGAGTACTAAAGAACTCTGCCTGAGTTTCTTCTACTATAATCTGTCTTCACTTTATCAATATCATGTAGTTTGGCCCTTTCTTGGCTGTACAAAATAAGGCAGATATACAGGGGAGCCCAGCATTACATTACCTTATTGCAAGCTAAATACCATAATTACTGTCCCACTTGCTGTTCTGTTTCCCATGTTTGGAGAATAAAGCTACCTGAAAGCAACTCTCTAACACAGAACCTACCTCAGCATTCATGTTGCTTTTAGTGCTATATGCTAGGCTCATGTGCTCCTTTAATTCATAAGAGGTTATGTTATTTAAGCAGGAGGACAAACATAAGAATGTGAGCACTTACCTGAACTTTAGCATTATGAATATTTCACATTGCAGCCAGAGAAATCCAGGCAGCCTTGAACAGTTGCCATATATGCTGAATTATTTTACTTGGTAATTAATTTTTTATCACCATCAGTCATCTTCCAGCAGG